CCACAAACCTTTTTTTTTTTTTTTTTTTTTTTACGGAGTGTAGGTGGAGATAGCTGCTAACTATTTTGCATTTGGAACTAAATACAGGAATTTCTTTCAATAATGAATTCCCCAGACATCCAGTGAATGTCTTTTTCATTCCCTGTTCTTTCCAAAATGGACAAATTTAAAGAAGAAAATGAACAAGCCTGTATGTAAGAAAGAAATAAAGCTGTTAGTTCAAATTTTCTTATCATGGGGATGTTCTTTTTTGGATTTCAGGTGATATAATATAGTTCTTCAGAATTGTGGAAATGTGTGTGTTTTGGGGAGGGTGCAGGACTATAAGCCTGTTTTTCTCAACTGGAGAATAAAGGCTGTCTTTTCAGGATGCAGAACATATGACACTAGTTAAACCTGTTAGCTACTAAATTGCAGGTAAGCTGCTGCTTTTATAAAGAAGAAACACCGCATCGTGCACAATTTTGATAGGATGATTAATGATAGGTTCATGTTTAGGCACCAGAAACTGGCTGTTCAGAAAGTGTTCAGCTTAGAAAAATCTTAATAGAGCAGATGCCCTTAATGGAGATCAGTTATCACTTCAGGTTGTTTTCTAAACTTTTTCCCTTCCTGCAGATGTCACATGTGTCTTACAGATGTCCTAGTTTTAGTCAGTTGTTAATTTTTTTTTCACCTAGATCACAGAATGGTTGAGGTTGGAAGGGACCTCTGGAAATAGTCTAGTCTGACTCCCCTGTTCAAAGCAGGGTTAGTTAGAGAAGGCTGCTCAAGGTAATGCCATCTGGGTTATAGTATGCTGAAGGATGGAGACTACAAAGCCTCTATGGGCAATCTGTTGCAATGTTGTAAGTTTTCTGTTTGTTGGTTTGTTTTGGTTGTGGTTTTTTTGTTTTTGTTTTTTTTTTTGTTTGTTTGTTTGTTTGTTTTTTGTTTTGCTTTGTTTTTTTCAGTTCATGCTCATTGCCCTGTCTTCATTCACTAGATACCACTGCGAGGAGTCTTGACTTTTTTTCTCTCCCCACCCCCCGCCCCCTTGTCAGATATTCATATACATTGATAAAACCTCCAGAAGTCCTCTCTCCTCAAATCTAAACAATTTTAGCTTTCATAGCCTTTCCTTTTGATAGATGCTCCAATTATTAAATAATCTTTGTGGTCCTTTGCTGGACTCACTCTACTATGGGCATGTCTGTCTTGTATGGAGAGGTTCACAACTGGATGCAGTGCTCCACGTGTGCCACCAGTGCAGAGCAGAGGGGAAAGATCACCTCCCTCGACCTGCTGGCAGCACTTCTCCTAATGCAGCCCAGGATGCTGTTGGCCACCTTTGTTGCAAGGGCACGTTGCTGATCTCTGTTCAACTTAATGTCCAGCAGAACCTCTAAGGCCTTTTCTACAAAGCTGCTTGTGGGATGTTTGGACCCCAGTGTGCTCTCTGCCCATTTGTCCAGCCTGCTGGGGTTCATCTGAGTAGCAGACCACAGCTCCACTCCATCTTGTATCTTCAGCAAACTTGCTGAGGATGCACTCTGCCATCACCCAGGTCATTAATGAAGATGTCATGCCCCAGGGGGTCGTTACTAGTTTACCGCTGGTGTCTGATTTCTAGCCTGGCTTTGTACTGCTGGTCACAACCCTTTGAGTCCAGAAGTACAGCCATTTTTCAGTCTACCTCAGAGTCTCCTTACCTAGCTTATACTTCATTAATTAAACTGTGAGGAGATTTATGGGGGATGATGTTGAAAGCATCACTAAATATCCACTGCTCTCCCCTTGCCCAGTGAGCCAGTCACCTCATCATGGAAGGCTGCTGGTATTGTTAACCATGATACCTCTTCTTCTGGTTTGGAGGTGATAATGGCACTGTGTATTGCTCATGTTAAAATCCATGATTAGTCTAAATTTCTCTTGAGGAAAAATCATGGGAGGAAGTGAGTACACAGAACTGAATTTTGTGAGAATCACTGATAGTAGTAAAATACTTTTGTCCTCAAAACTTTTAAAATGGTTGTCTAAAGATCTTGGGATATTGTGGAAGTAGTTCACCTAAGTTTGGAGTCTGTCTCCCAAGATTTCAGACATTTGCTATTGTTTAAGTTGGCATCTAATTTTTGTTCAAAGGTTGGGTATTTTTCAGCAATGACCTGTAAAGAACTGTGTATCCATAAAAATCTGGCTTCTGTTAGCACTTGTATATATACACTATATTGTTATATGTAATGGAGGAAAATGTAATATTTTAAACTCTTTAGCTGAGGAACTTATAATGTATACTTTATCTTGTTTGTTGCAGGTTTATGGAATCTAGCTTCTCTTTTTTCGAATTTATGTTTGTTTGTATTGATGCCCTTTGCATTTTTTTTCCTGGAATCAGAAGGATTTGCTGGCTTAAAGGTAGGAAAATATTGTTAAATACAGAGTAATTACAATATGTATTCCATTTTCAGCTCTTGTTTCTGATGAAATTGAAATTACAATTTTGGGAGGATTTGACAGTGGGATGTGTATGTTTCTGTGAATGCGTATATACAAATGTGTGCTCCTTCACAAGCAGGTGAAGCGAGTATACAGCATGTGGTTGTGAGAAAGCTTAAGGGAGTGGGGGGGAAGTCCTTGAAAAGGCATGCATACTGAGATCAAGAAAATACCTCTTTATCAAAATGTTTTATTCCGTTTGGGTTTTTAAAAAATTATTTTGTTAGGATGCTAAAAGGAAAGAAGGTTCAATAAATACACTAGAAATAAAGTAACAAGGAATAGAAGTACTAGCTTCTTACTAATAAGGAGGGTGATTAAATAAGATGACCCAGAGAAGACAAGCTCGATTTGTGAATTTTAGAGATTACAAACATCCCCAAAAGGTTCAAATGTGGTCGATATTAACATATTTTAAGAAAACTGTCGTGTATAGGTAGGGAACAACTAAAAATACTTTACTTAGTTGAATATATTCAAGTTGAAAGGGCTGAGTATTCCAGTGAAACATGGAATTTGGCCAAGCAATTTCTGAACAATAAGATAACAATTGTATTAATATCTGAACTGAATAAATATGAGAAATTACTATAACGGGAGGCATAGCAAAATGAATCTCAAATTGTAAATATCAAATAAATTAAACTGGAATGACTGTCTGGGGACCAATTGTAGCATGTTTTCATTAATCTTTATCATCTAAATGAGTACACTTTTGTTTTTAACGATACTATGCTTGAGGGAATTCTGCGCCCTTTGAATAGTAATTACTAGAAAGCAAAGGATCTTGGAAAGTGGTCTGAAATCAGGAAAATTAAGTGCATCAAAAATACAAAAGACTACATCATTGGTAGATCACACATAAATCAATGAGGGGATAGTTTTTGTAGGAAGGAGGACATAATTCCTGATTGCATTGACAGGAATTGGCATGGAGGCAATGAAGTTGCCTTTTATTTTTTTGTGGAATTGAGGAAAACTCAACTGTAGTACTGCATTCAATTTGACATTTTAGTGTTCTTATAGATGGTTGAGAGAAAACAGAGGATAATAAAGAAAATACTTAAAGTGCAGCATAAAGGAAAATTTTAATTAAGAGAATAATGTAAAGAAACAGATATTTTATTCTATAGCTGAAGCTACTGGCAGGATATGTTGACTGGGCAATACAGCTGTGTTAGAAAGGACCTGCAGGACCCAACCAAGATGGTGTGTAAATACTTGTTTGGTGTATCCTGAACTGCTTGATGCCACTGCAGTTGCTGTGTATTGACCAAACTGCAGATATATCTAAGTAACTTCAGTTACAAGTTTGGATAGCCAAGCTAATGAGTTCAACTTCAAAGGAGTTTGGTGATGGGCTACTGTGTTTAACTGCACTTAACCAACTTGGCTGGAAAACATGCTCTTCTCCTTCCTTCACTTCGGGTATCTATAGGGCTAAGAAAACTTCTAGAAACTCATTTTGTCCTTTCAGTTTTCAAGTGGAGGACACTCTGTTTTACTTCTGACACTAAGTATCTAGCCACAGCTAATGTATATCTTTTTTTCTAAAACAGAAGTAACTTAACTTATTTTAGTGGGGCTTGTGTCTCCTTCAGTCCAACCAAACCCAAGGATTCTCTGCATTAGGGTATCTTGAATGGTACTGCTGGTGTGTCCCCTTGACTTGTAGATTTCTGTTGGCTACAACAGATGCATTATGTATACTTGTAAGCTTGCACTTCACATAAAACTTTAATAGTTAGAGTGAAACTTTTAAACTTACCACTGACTGTCAGTAAATCCCATTCAAGATAAATAGGATCACGGTTACATGTTTACACTTGGAAACATTCATAACTCCAGATGAGATAGAACCATAAAATGTCAGCAGATGTCAGGAAAAAAATGATTGTTGGTGCTTTAGAGTAGTTCTGCTTCTTCATGCAGGTAGATGAGATCAGATTTTAATATCAAAACCCACCTGTTGTGAGGGGGAGGGAAAAAAACAATTTGGGGATTTTTTTGTTGTTGTTGTTTATTACTTTGACTTACCCTGGGTGGTTTTGGTGCATCCCAGAAGGCAAGTGTGATTCCTAGTACAGGTACTCCAGTCCTTTGTCCAATGTCTGTTCTACCTGGCTGCTCTGTTTAAAAGTATCCAGAATGAATGCAGACATACTGAATTGTTTTACCAGCTTTGAGTGAGCCCTAAAGCTATTGGTGAAGATGTAGTAATTGTAGTCCATTTTAATATGAACATACCTTGTTTTTAATCACTTTTCTTAGAAAGTAAGTGGCAAATGTCACTTCTGGACTAAGTTGATAGTTAAAATTGAGTGTGCTATTCTGTTCAAATTCTGATGCAGATAAATGATTCTGCTTGCAATAAGTATTTTGTATATATTTGAAAGAATTACATCACATAATAGGGTGATTAGAATCAGGGAAAACTTATGGTTAATTGAATTAGATGTAAGCTTTTCAGTTCTAGAATTTGTAAAGGCTAGTTTCCATCTCTTTATTTTCCTTAGATTTTGGCACATTGCTTATCTCTGCTCAGAGAATATTTTGATACTATGATTGCTTTGTAGAATTCTGGTATTTTAATAAAAATCAAAATAATTTGTTATACTTCTCCAAATTAAAATAAAAAAAGTCATATTTTGTCATTCATCACATCAGACTAATGGGCCAGAGAGATGAAACATCGTTCAAATGCTGTTACTGTTAACTGGCAAAATCAGGTTTTAGTGATCTCAGTTTAAAAGAACATTTCATACATTTGGCAAACCTTGCAGCATTTAAGAGACGAGCTATCTACTGTAAATGTGAAGACATCCAATAAGGAGGTTTGGCACAGGATATGCAATGTTGAATCATTCAGTTGGGCATAGGATACAAGGAGTAGGGAAAGCAGTTGGTTCTAGATACCCAGCTTATCTCAAAATTAGGATAAAAAAACTTCCACTGGAAGCTTTTATGCAGGTCATCTTGAATTTGTCATAGAATTACTTTGATTATAATGAATAAATAGGTCACTTAAGATTTAGGTGTGCACAGTCAAGATGTCTATTTGAAGGTGTTATTATAAGAATTGCTTGTTGGATGTTAATAGAAGGTCTGAGAATATATGATTAAAAAGTTCAGTTCTGGAATTGAATGGATTTTTTCATTTTTTAAATGGATTTCTTTGTTCAGCCTTAATTGGGACAGTAATGTTGGTCATTATCACATAAGGGCCTAACTCCCAAAGTTTTTAGCCATTTGTTTGACTGTTTATCATAGATTATGCTATAAAAGTTGATTTTATGTATTCACTATAATGGGAACTTTTTGCAAGCTATGATAGATCTGTATAACTTTTATTTCTATATTCTTGTAAGGAATCATTGTCCCCTTAACTGTTTTAAGTTTCATGAATCAGAATGGGTTTGATTAACCATCTTCCAATTTACTATGGCTTTTTTTTCTTGGTTGCTAGTATACTTTCTAAATGGCACATGGCCCCTCTTATAGACTCTTTTTGATTCCCCAGGGCAACAGTTTAAAACAACTAAGGACTTGCATATTGCGCAGAGGAGAGAAATACGGAAATTAGGCACTCACCATGGACGGATGCAGTGTTGTACTGAAAATCAAACTGATTCTCTGCTTAGTTTTTAATTAAAATCACTTTGTTAATTGAAAAGGGGCATTTTGGGCCCAAGGGGTTTGTTTGACCATGCCCTTTTAAAGAGTTTAAATTCTTCTCCTTGCTATAGTTTATTTCCATTTAATGGCAGTTGCAGACTTCTGTTATCAGGAAAAATAATTGTAAAGGCAGTATTGGAGGTGTATAATATATGTATGTGTATATTATATCATTGCACATATACAGGTACATGCCATGTGTGTATTTATGCACATATACGTATTTTAATGCACAAGTGTGACTTAGGTTTTTCAAGACTGCTGAAGTAGTTGGAGATCATTATGATATATTAGACTTTAGCTGGTGCTCTTAGCTGAACTATTGGAGTACCTGTAGTAACTTTAATCCCCTGCATCAATATTAAGAACTCCTTGATATCTTCCTATATTCTCAGATAAAGTCTGCGCATAAAGTTATACTTCTTGTTTAGATGTTCTTTCAGTTCTTTGTCTCTGGTCTTCTCAAATTCTGTAGTAATGAAACAAAGGTGTCAACCACGTTTCTTAATGTCATAATTAACCTCATTCTTTATCATTCTCTCCAAAAAAAGGAAATCTGTGGTATTTGCAGTTGAGTATCTGTAGTTCCCAGTACTGATGTTTCCATGTGTGATAACAGTCTGCACAGAAAATTACATGTGCGTTGCTCTGTGAAGGACGCCAGCATTTTTGAAGAGATAATTGCTATACCTTTTCTTGACCTTTAAAATGCGCTTTCTCTTGATGTAACTTCAACTGAAATTTGTATTTGTTTGAAGCTGACAAAGATAAAGATGTTCAAGAGTAATTTCCTTGTAAGAAAATACAAATAGTGCAATTTACTGCTGTGAGAAACTGGAATAACTAGGTATTGCATAATCATGAGTGTAGAGTTTTAAAAAGACTTTATGAAGTATTTTACCTTAATACTGATCTTTGAACTTGAAGTCATGGCATAAAGTTTAACATGAGCGACAGCAACATCCTGACCAATTATCCAAATTATCCAGACATCTCAAAATGTTCAGAACACAACACACAGAGTCTGTGGATTAAGAGGTTAACTCCTGGAACATCAAAAGAAGTGCATGATAATAAAAACAAATAGTACAAAAATTTGAGGTAACTTCCTTGCTTAATTAATTAGGTAGACCAGGTGGAAGCGAAGAGGCCAGAGCTGGTGCTCAGAACGTCTATAAAGCTGAGCAACATGACAGCACAATGGAGGAGGAACAAAGATTTTTTTAATATACTTCTATCCTGTG